TTTTTTTTTTTTAAATAATAAGACGACCTATAAAAAAAACAGGCAACGTAGTTGAGCCTTTTAATAATAACTGTAAACGAACATGTTAAATGGATTCTAATATTATCTAGTCAATTTCATAGGATTTTTGTTATATTTTAATTTAAAAGCGAGTTATAAGTATTTTAAAATTGTAAATTGTTTTGTATATCTTAATATATGTATAACTAAAGCAAAAAATCAAAATATGACGAAAAATCTTATGTGATTGACTAGATAATAATCTTACCTTTAAATAAATTGTATAAGAGGTTAATTCACTCTAAATTTTAAACTAACTGAGCTAAACGTGATCTGTTGAGCGTAAAATGTGTTGTGCCTTGTGCTACGCACTTGTAAGATGGTGACAATACATGTGGGTGCAACGTCCTCTTTGTCTTTGAATTTAACTATTACTAATAAACTAGAGAGGTATTTCTTTAAAATATAGTGTACCTAGGGGGGTAATTATATCCACCACCTGTTCTTTACATCGATTATAAAAGTTGCGTGTTATACTGTTATACTTTCAGGTTATAAAATTGGAAATAATTAACGGAAAGTTGACGACGTTAATATCGATACAATATTTTAGTGTATTTCTTATTATTAGATGCACAGTAAGTCCGTATGTTACAGGCTATCACCAATAAATTATTATTGCACGATCATCGATTAATATAGAACAGTCGTAATATTTATTATTTAAATAAATCCAAAGACCTCGTAGGGGCCATGAAAACGGTCTAGAAATTTTTTTCCTCGTTAAAACGTGTGACACGGAAGACCGCCGCAGCCGCAGTCAATTCGTCATTGCATTCGTCAATTCACGATGTAGCATGAACTGTAATACTATTATAGTCTATATTTATAGTTCATAGCTGACGCCGCTTTCTTGAGGAATGTCCCTGAGCATTATATTATTGTAGTCGTAGATCATTTTATTTTATTTTTTTCATAACTTTTTGTTCGATGGAAAATATAATAATCAACCGATCCGCCACCTGACAAACCTTGAAATTTCACAAATTATGTCTTAACTTGAGTCTAGAGACGTGTTCCATTAAGTATTATTTGGTATTAATGTTTAAATTATAAATATGAACCTAAACATAATATCCAAAAATTTAGGTACTTAGGTAGGTAATTGATCTCACAACGAARAGTTATTAATCGAAACAGTTGTGAACATTTTATCAAATAATTTAAAAATGTATGGCAATCTATGGTTTAAATATTGTATTGATCGTATAATTAATTTATTACTGGATTAGTTTTATCTAAATATTAGAATTAAGTTAGTATAGGTACTACAAATAAAAAAACACTGATGTAAAATGTTTAACAAATATACCTATCATATGTGTTGCACTGCAATAAATGACTAACTGACAACTAAAATGTATTCTCTAAGGGATTTCAGTGTGATATATGTTTTTGGGTCTAGGCYAAATTAGTGAAACAATTAACTGCAAATTTTAAAATAAGTGATTATATATAATAACGAAACTGAAGTTTTTATAATTTCTATTTTGAATAGGTTCTGTCAATTTTAATATAGTACTTGGATAAATTTCAAAACATATAAAATTATAAAACTATAACTAATAAAACTCATTTTACCWGCGATTTCTGGCGCAATCAATGTAGTATACCCAGTACCTACGGACGTATCGGGTTAGGTTATTGACTCGTTGTCAATATGGTATCTTATATATAGTTACTATTATAACTATTTTAATATTATAAATATAGATAAGATTGTCTACTAAGAATTGTTTTTCAAAAGTATTATCACTAAATGCCTAATTTTTCAAAAAATTATTATCACTAAATGCCTAATTGTTTTTTCAAATTTATTTCCACTAAATGCCTAATTGTATATTTCCCCTTTTTTTAAATTGGCTCTTTTTATTTTCACCATTATTAATTCACGGTTATTGTTTCGCTATTATGGYTGGATTAATTTATGTTCTTTCTCTGACTCGCGGGAGACTAACGTAAAATCGTGTTTCTTATGATATTTGAGTAATCGTATATTGAATTCATCTATTAAAAAAATTATAGAGTGTAATATTTTAAAATAAAACATCGTAATTATGTTTGTTTTACCAACTCCTAGTATAAAAARAAATCAAACTTATTTTTATCTGTACCACATGTCAAATATATTAATAATTGTTTAATAGTTTTATATTTGTTAAATTCAACAGGAATCCAAAATGGGGTTCGGTTCTAAAGACGAGTGGTGTGGATCCATTGTCAAGTACAGCATGTTTTTGTCCAATTTTATCATATTCGTAAGTTACGCATTATTCGTTTTAATTACGAATTACTATTTGTTTGTTTACGTTAATGATTTTTAACAAACTATACATTCGTTACTTCTGAACATTATTTTATTAATATTATATATACTATTCKTCTATACAGTAGTTTGACCCAAAGTTAAAGATTTAAATTATTTTTTTGAAAAAAATTCAAATTGCAAAAAGAAAACAATATTTGTGATACTGATAAACTTTTTAATAAAGATTTATTTTTATTTTTATTGATGCAATTTTTGATTATCATGTTCTTATGTACTTTAAATAATAATTGAACGAGACTAAGTTGAATTTAAGAGTTTAAGATACTCACGGTTTTTAATAGTATCGAGTACATAATTACACATTTTACCTACGCTATTTCTGGGGGATGTATAAGTATATCATTAACTCTTAATAAGTGGTTGAATGTTTTTAACATGTATAAATTAAAAAGATAAATAAATTAAATTGCACCAAAATTTATTAAAAATATTCAGTTCTATTAAAATATGAATTTAAATATTAGCATAATACCAAAAGTATTAAATTTGTGTTCATTGAACAAATTAAAATATATTTTTTTAATATTCCTATTTAAATACATMTCCAATAAAATGTATGTCTACTGAAACCTCATTAAATTAGAAAACCCATAAAATAAATATACATTAATATTATATATAGTGTATACAATGTGATTGACTATAGTTTATAGAACGCATTCAAGTTTAAATTAAATTTGTTTGCAGATTGGAGGCATTGTATTGGTGGCCATTTCAGTGTATACGCTGTATGATAAATCATTCATCAAAGAACTCTTGGGCACCAACTTGTTCACAGGAGCCGTGTATATATTAATCGTGGCGGGCATTTTGCTGTCACTTCTATCGTTCTTGGGATGCGCTGGCGCTGTCAAAGAAGTCAAATGCATGCTGTTGACGGTATGAAAAATAGTAAAATATAATTAAGTCACACGTGACTTTTCATTATAAAAATAAGTGTTTGAGAAACTACTAATCAGATTTAGAAATTTCAAATTTATATATCCTTAAATATTACACATATGTTATTTTATAGTTTTGTTAGTTATTAGTAATAATTCCATATTAGTAGTTAATACCAGTTTTTTTAATTTTAATTTATATTTTTTTTATAATTAAATTGTATCAATATGAATTAGATACCTGAACATGTATTTACTTATACATTTTAATAACAGTATTTTAAAAATTTATAAGTAAATACATGTTCAGATATCTTATTCTTATTGATACAATTAAATTACAAAAAAAATATAAATAAAAATAAAAAAACTGGTATTAACTACTAATATGGAATAATTTWAAAAAATCCAATATAGAACCCATATAAAATTACCTACTTTTTCTATACAAAATGTTTTCTGTTTTTAATCTCATTAATATATTGTTTTTTTTGTTTTATATAAAATTATATAGCCTTGTTAATAACATAAAAATTTWTATTTGATACTTCATGCTCATGATATTAATAAATATGAAATTACATTTTTAGAGTTAAGACTTACAGATTAAGCCAATTTAATATTATTTCAACGAAAACAATACTATTTTTATTGATGTAAAATTGTTATCAAAAATAATTGATAAAACGAACCATGTGGTATTTAAATACAAGTATTTATATTATGTTAAAAATACTTTTAAAAAGTATTCAGAATAATTAAAAAATCTTTAAAAATATTGTATTTAGAATACCAAAAAAAAATATACTTCAAAAAGTATTTTAATACTTGTATACGAGTACAAATACTTTACAAGACTGCTAATTACTAATAACTATAACACTTTATGATATTTATTGTATTGATTAGTTAGTTATAGAGAAATGCCATAACCAAAGTATAGGAATCGATAAAATAAACATTTGGTAAAAATTTCAAGTTTCTATAGTTATTCGTTTTTGAACAACAAAATAAAAATATTGGTTTAAGAGAAATCATATTCAATGTTGTAGAAATTTGAAATTCAAATGCTTATAAAAATGTAATTTGACTTCCGGTACACATTTTTTTTTTTTGATAAATTTAGATAAACTTATGAAGAATCATGTATTGAATTTTCAAATCTTTGATTTAAAAAAATAAATTTTTATGTATTTATAACTCAAAATAATCAGTAAACTTTCATGATTTTTTACGTATTTTGTCTGAATTCGAATTTTAAATRTTTATAACAAAAAATTTTACAGTATTTTTAATATTTTTAACTACCRTTGTAACAATATTGGCAACACTGGGGAAATATCCTCATTGCCACCCTCAATGACAGTATGACATATCTAATTAAATTATTTATTTATTTTTGTTTTGTAGTATTTCATAATTCTGTTCATTATATTCATCGTGATGCTCGTCGGAGGGATATTATGTTACGTGTTCAGGCAAAGGGTGCAGACGACTATGCAACAAGAAATGCTCAGGACCATAAGGTTTTACGGCGATGACCGGGCCATAACTAGAGCATGGGACGATCTCCAAGAAGGAGTAAGTCGAGATTGGATAAACACCGTTGATGATTTCATGAAAACCGTTTTTATATGTATGGAATATATATTTATATTTTATTGTTAAGCTACACTGTTGTGGAGTCACGGGCTATGATGACTGGAGGCAGCATAGAATCGGCGGAATCATTCCCAGCAGTTGTTGTCAAGAGATTAACGGAAAGGTGAGGATTGCGTGTATTACAATGTATCATGTAAATGTATTAAAAATTAACCATACATTTTTTTTAAATAATTCAATAATTTTGTGAATGTGTGGAGGTTTGGTGAGCTAGTTTATACGGACTGCAGCTAATCTAAGATTTATATTCAAAAATTCTTTAGTTTTTACTTTTCTGTGAACGTATTGTGTAAGTGTGTAATGTTTACACTGTAGACGTAAGTACCTATGTATTAAAATTGTGATTTGTTTTTAAGTTGGTTGCAWGTCCAAAATTAATATTATCAGCCCTAGATCAATGATATCAGCATTTTCCATTTGCATGGATCCTTTATAGTTAGGCCTCCTCTATATAATAGATTATTAGGTCCCCTGTTTCCCAAACAGAATTCTGGCTATAGCACTTGTGGGTGGGGTAGATGTTAGCAAGCGATTTCCATGTCCATTAAAAAAAAAAAATTATATCACCTCCCACCAATTTGATAATAATAAACAACTACTTATCGTTAGATAAAACCAAATCATTAAATAAAATCTCAGTATATTATCAATTCAAATAGAAATCTGTAGAGAGATTAAATATCGAGACCAGCCAGTATACTTTATTTAAATATTTAGCATGTGCGCTGTGAACAATTTAGTGATTTAGAATTGATATTTCTACTTATATAAAAATGCATCGTATAAATAATATCACAAGGGTTCTGTCAATGAAAAGTCTCCCTCCTCATTTTAATCATGTCCTGTAATTGAAGTCATTGTTTATGTATTTGCTTATTTTAAACACGTTACAGATTGTAAATATTTATTTTAAATAAAAATAATTATAATATCGTGTCATWTAATATTAAAGTTTAAGAATCTGTATAATGATAACACTTTTGTATTTGTTCAATGACTGGGTAAACATAGTTCACATGCATATGTGATTCACGCTTATATTTTTGATGGGTCACATAAAGTTTTGGAATATTTACATATTTCAAAAATTTTAAATATTTAATATTAGATTATTTGAAAATATATACATATAAAAATAAAAAGTATTATATTATATATGAATAAATTAGCATAACTGGTGAAATAATCATGGCTATTTTTTAACAGAAACAACCATGTAATCTGAGTTTCCAAGCGAGCCTACAGATATATAATACCGGCTGCCTGAACGTGACTACTGCATTTATGAAGGACCACGCGACTACAGTCGGAACCGTTGGTATAGCCGTTTCACTGTTTCTAGTACGTACCTATAATATGATATTTTTAATATTGAAACATATCAGTGGTTGAATTGGAAAATAAAATAAAGGTAGACTTTAAATGAAGTTGAACAATTAATCAAATTAATTTAATAGTAATCCTATTCCTTGATGAATATAATAAAGGAGTAGGTACGCTATAATTTGAAGAAAAATGAAGAGTAGCTCAGTCCCCCTGCGTCCTCCCACAATTCAACCACTGAAACATATTGTACATAGATAATATAAATACTTAGACGCAAATTCGTTTTAATCATGTATAATTATTTCATTTTTGCATTGTATTATAGAAAAATGTGGGGCAAAGTAGACACTTCATACATATTTGATAGGTTAAATAAATAACTATAAATAGGTATATAATAATTAATTTAAATAGATACATTTTTCCAAAAATTTATTACAAATGTAATGAAGTTTTATCCACAAAGATCATTAATATTTTAGTTCTAAACAAATATTTAATTATAATATTTTTTCTTAAGAGGACGTTACACGGGAATTTGTTGTCTCTGTCTTACAAGCGTGTTAGCATACAAAATTTCGCTCATTAGATAACATTTCGCTTCGTTAGTTTGAAAATTAGAATGAATCGACCTAATATTATGAAACTTAACGTTAAGAGTTTGAATCTGAGTTAAAACAAAGTTAAAAGCGATCTGCTGAGTGTAAATTTGTTATGTTACCCATTTGTAAGACGGAGACAAAAAATTTCTGATTAGGATATTACCTATGTCCAGGGCCGTGTTAAGCTATTTGGCGCCCAGAGGCACTCATTTTTAAGCGCCCCAGCCCCCCTCTCTTCTTAATATCATCCACTTCTTGACTTCCTCGCACGTTATTTAGTATTTCAGATATGTGAAAAAGTATAGGATGATTTTTTTTTGGAGACTCAAAAAGATTATCATCTATATTTTCAATTGACTGATGATCTTGATCCCTGATGTTGATTTGACATAAAACAAATAAAACTGAAATGGCTAATTTGGTAAATTTTAAATGTACCTTATCAAAGATTTAATGGGTAATAAGTTTATGAAGCTATCGCCTATCATACAGTTATAATGTTGAAAACTTTATCTTAACTTAATTTAGGTTAAATATTTAATAAAATTGCATTACATAAACAAATTTTTATATATATATATATAAGATATATAAAATAAATAACATTTTGACAAAAAAAATATATATATAATTTTAGATTCTGAGTGAACGATTATTTTATTTTTTTATTTTTGTGTCTGTGTACACGATAAGTAATCGAAAGTCTATTTTTCAAAATATTTTAATTTGTTTTGAACTGTTTAGGGAAATTTTCAGTTTCCAATTTTATTAGTTTTATTTTTTCTATGAATGTCAATAAAACTTTATTTGTTGAGTAAAAATCCTTGAAAATTTAATACAAGGCTCCTACTATTTTATTGCAATGACATTTGAGAATTATTAAGAATCCTTAGTCACTGTTTTTTTTTTATTTTTATAAGCTTTTAAAGTTCAAAACTTGACAAAACGTGTAAAAATCACGAAAATTAGCATATTATTTTGAGTTAAGAATTCGTAAATTTTTTCTTTTTAAATCAAAGATTTTAAAATGTAATTCAAAATTCCTTATAATATTATCTACCTTTATCAAACAGAAAAAAAAAAAAATGTCTAAAAGAAAGTCAAACAAAACATAGTTAGTAAGTACATTCAACACAAATTTTGAACTGCAGGCAGTGGATCATCGAAATAATTTTCAGTTTTCGAATATTCAGATTCATCTAAGATGTAAATATATAATATAAATAATTGTCATATTACCAAAAAATTTGATTTAATATAATGATATTTAGATGGTATTATTTATAACAAAAAAGGAAAGATGGTTACAGCAGTAATTTATAATTAAGAGGGATTGATACTAGTATACTATCTACATACTTGTCAATCTCGTTGCCACACACAGATATAGATAAAAAAATAGATTGTTAACTAGTGATATTACGTGAAGTTATTATCCACCATTTATAGTAGGTCAAATGCATGCCAAAATCCCAACAAACTTTGAATTATTGTTTGAAATATTTTAAATGTATTTTTATTTTTTTGTCATTGATATTAATTTTTGTAATTTTGTCACAATAAATTATGAAACTATTTTATATCACAACATGTAAAGATATTTATGTTTTTATATTAGGTAAATAATATTGTTTTAATTTGTCAAAATACCTATACACCTACTAACTAGTTAAGAAACTGTTCCTTTAAATATAAGTACCTAAGTGCTACTAACAAATAATGATATAATAATATAATTTATTGGTTATAAAATAGTATCTACAGAATAGTATTAAAATACACTTACCAAATTTATATGTTTATATATTATTTTTATAAATTATAAAAATAACATGAAATTATTCAATAGATCATTAACCACATTTTAAATTAATTAGACAATAATAATTTTTAAATTATTTAACAAATGTCAAATAATAAAGTAAATTTGTTACCTTAAATAATAAAAGATATTTTAAAACATTTATTTACTATTGTTTAAAAGAAATCAGTCAAWTCAATGATAAATTGTGTTATCAAAATTATAACATGATAAGATACAAATTACCTACTAGTAATGGGGCGGATGTGTGGCTTCAAACTTTAAACTTTCAAACCTAGCAATCTAGTTTATTATCTATATCTGTGTTGCCACGTGTGACTGCGTGGTAAAATAGTTTTGCAATTTTGGCATTTTTGCAATAACTAAATCATCTTTCTGGACATTTTCTTTGATTCTTTTTCTATTTTCACTGCCACTAGATTTTTTTCTCCAGATGCATTCATTATAAAGTAGAAAAGAAAAACTGTTATTAGGTAGATAAAAGTTAAAAATGACATGACTAAAATATAAACGCTTAATGCTTATTGCTCAAATAGTCYTCGGTTATGTTATGTGCGAATGTGYGATCTGAAAACTTATCAATTTTACTGACATGTGTCAGCAGATGACGTAATTTATTTGTTTATCRAAAATAAATATAATCATAAATGTCACTTATCATTATTTTATTATCGGTACGACAAAAATATATTTTTAAATATATAACTAAGGAAGTAATCATCGTAATTTTTTCATTAAAATTTCTCAAGCTTTCAATTTCATGCACTCCTTGATTTTACCAAGCTGCGGTGCCCGGGGGCAAATGACCCCTTTGCCCCCCCCCTTAACAAGGCTCTGCCTATGTCAAGTGTTTGAAAGTCATGTCTCGTGTATAGCGTATAGAGCAAAAGGAAACTGAAGTCAGCGTTGAACACCTAGTAGCAAAATCAACGWCCATTTCCAAAAAAAAATTAATGACCATAATATCCGACTAAAAAATATATTATGTAAAAGATTAGAACAGGACTCTGGTGTGATATAAAATAATTTCTCAAGGCGATTATTTAAAATTCAAAATGTTTACAATAATAAAATTTTTCCTGTGTTTTAACACAAATATTTTAATTCACATATAATATTTTGTTAATTCAATCTTCATTTTTTTTTATACTATGATTTTCATGACACTTTATGTTATGACATCTRMCCATATGATACATGAATTTCTAACATTTGACCTACATTCTCCGATCAGAGTTCTCTTAAAGTCAGAAAATATCGTATATTTAGAAATAATGTGATTGTTATAATAATGTTATTACTATTTCTTTACAGCAGTACAAATTTTTTTGTTTCAGCTATTCGGGCTGGCATTTTCATGTGCATTGTTCATGATGATCGTTTGAAGTTAACGATATTTACAGATAAGCAAAGATTTCATCGTCTTGGAAAAYAATTTTAAAATATTCATCTAAGTAGGGAAACGAAGGTCATGTAAATTATTTTCAACACATTATTGCCATTATGAACCGATCCGTTGCCGTCAATTATCTGACGACAGTATATAGTAATATATTATAGTATTATATAATATTATATAATACATTATATATATATCGATGGTCGTCGGTGATTAAATTTAAAAAAAATCGACAACAATTTAATTTATATAAAATATACATAAATAATATTATATAGGTACTATTTAGTTTATTAATTTAYGTTAAAAACGAAAGAAAAACAATGGGTAGATGGTACAATTTTATTTATGTAAAATATATTATATGTATAACTAAACCTAAACATAGGCATGCACAGAAAAGAGATATTTTTCGAGGTAGGTTTTTATGCAGAACCCYTATATGTTAGTTATTTTAATTGTTTAGAACTCTAGTAGAAAAATACATACAAATATTTTACAAAACGTTTAATAAAATAATATATTTTTAATTAACTTAATAAAAATTAAAACCTTAAACCACACACTATAAGTGAAATACAATATCATGATATGTCTTTGGTTATGAATAACTGTTAAAATAAAAATAATTATCAGAGAATATTAACTCTATAATAATGATATAGATAACTAATAACTGAAAATACTACATAAGACTTATAAGCATAGAGCACACCCTTAGAATAATAAACTTATAAGTCAAAYTTCTTAAATATATAAAACAAATAACATTTTTCATGTAAAACAAATACATAAATTATCAGTCATACCTTCACTAACAATAACAGAACATGTATTTAGACATTTCTGATATAATTTCACAAATCAGTAGTACTTTATTTCACCTGTTTTGATCTTTATAGGTTGTTCATTCCCCTGTCTGTATGGACATCTTAAGTTCTAACTCTATTAATCACATATATTTGTTCTATATTTTTTATTTGTGTCTACTTGAAGAGAAAAAGTTGTAATGATTTATATTTATCTTTACAAGGTAAATTCAACCGCTCTCCTCCTACACACGCCTGCATGCATATGTATAATATATACCTAATTCTCTGTGGCGTGTAGGTACCTACCTATATAGTAGTTAAGATTTAAAATAATTATTGTTCAACATTTAAATTAATCACAATTCACTAGTTTTCATATTATATAACTATAATACGTACGTATATAGGTATTTCACCTATTGGTTTTTTGTATTCAAATCAATACTTTTTTTTCTTTGTTTTTTTACAAAGGTACTTTGGTACCTACCTACTTTCCACTTGGGCATTTAAGTATACATTTGCATTTAACTACTAATTCTGTAGTCGATTTTGGGGGGTTTTTAAGAAAAATATAYAATAATTAAACTAAAAACGTTTTCACACTATTTTCAGTTGCTACTTGCTACGTCTTGCCCATTAAGACATAATTAACATTAGATACATGGGTAACTATTAGGTATAATTTAAAATTATGTAATATTATTAAATTATAAGTTAATTATCACTTTAAGTAATACTTCTGGACTCTGGTAGCATCATTATATTCTTTTACAAAATATGTATCATAATAATATTTTATTTTATATCTAATAYATAATTTTCATTTGTGACGTACCTATGTTACAGTGATGTTTACGAGTAAGATGTCCTGTTATTTTTTTATATGGGTAATTATCTAAGTAGGTAATAATTTAATTAATTTATATTTTATAAATTATAATTTTATATACCAGTGTAGTAAGTGTTTATAACAATCAGCTATGCGTGTATATAAATGCCCATTTTATAACTTTTATTTGGTTAGTAATTTTGTGAAACTTAAATATTTTCACATCTTTTCGGAGCAAAACTATGTATGTATTTCATTGGTAGGTAAATAACTAATTAACACACAATAGATTGTAATTGTCAAATATTGGTACACTATAAGTCTATAACTATTTTACCATGTCTATACCTACCTAAAATAATGATGTTATTTATTCTTATATTTGTAAATTATTTATTAAATATCTTGTAACATATATTTTAAATAAATTATATATAACATACAAACATTTTTATCCCGTTATATTGACAACAGAATTATATAATAATGTGACAATCYTAGCAAAACCAAATCCGTTACCTAAGTAGATAATCTTGGCATATTGTTATTACATTTGGTGCTTCGTTTGTGATTATGAATCAACGAATAGACTTACAGCACTGCACTAACGATGTACTTRTTTTACTAGTGTTACTTTAAATCCATTCTATGTGTTTTGGAAATCCAACCCTATAATTTTCGAGCGTTAAAAATTATTTTCGACTTCGTAGATAAGTAGTGGGTGAACTACTCCGAAAGTTGTATTGGATTAATCATTAGCTTTGATGATAGCAGCAGTAAGAACATTCACTCAATATTCTAGTCTTGGTAAATATATTAACGTTTGCTCATCTCTAATTGATGAGTACGGATTTAAAAATATGATGCCAACACCATAAATGCTCTATCGCCCGCTTATACAGCCTCAGAAGTACGTATAGGTACTTATCACGCAGTGGCGTGCGTACAATTATATATATATATATATATAAAAGTCAGTCGCTTTCCAATGTTGTGTCGTACGCATAGGCGGATCTACAGGGTGTGACGTGTGTGCCAAGGCACACCCTAATGTACAAAAAAAAAATTAATTAATAACATAACACATTAATTGAATTTCAGTTTTTAAATTAAAGTACGAGTGTTCAGATAAGTCTAAAATAAAATAATAACTAAATTTATTTTTTACCAATAGTTATTTTTTACATTATTAACGAAGTCTGGATGTTTAGATTTTAAATCACTATATTATCGTACTCTTTAAATTAGATTTATTGTTATTGTCGTCGACATCGACATGAAAACTTAAGCCGCGTCCAGACCAAAGAAACATTTGTCGGAAACACATGATTTCGACATTGTCGTCGACAAACTTTAGATCATGTTTTTAAAATTTTGTCGACGACAKSGTCMSKGACSMTGTCGTCGACAAATTTTTGTTATCGGCCGAGTAGCGGTAAACTTCAAAGGATGTTTACAAACTTTGTCATCGACAATGTATCGKYATGTCCAGACTGGTCGCAACTTATCACAGAAATATTTTGATATTTTTTTGAAATTGAACTATTTTGTGTTCAGTAAGTTCAGTTGGTCGATTTAGTCACTACTGATCACTTTAAATATTTTAATATATGTACACATTTTCTATTATTCGTAAATAGTAAATACCTACCATGGAGTTATCTAGAGAAAAGGTGTGTCAGTTAATTGATTTATACTATGAAAGGCCAGTATTATGGGACCAAACGCTGTCAGATTATAAAAATAAGTTTTAAAATAATGACGCGTGGTGTGARATTTCAAAAATAATGAACATTGACAAAGCAGACATTGAAAAAAAATGAAAAACRTTATTGGCCAATTTTATCTCGAATGCAGAAAGACGAAGTCAGGTGCTGGAACTGACGAAGTTATGGAGTCAAAATGGTTCGCCTTTAATTCTTTGATGTTTTTAAAGGATA